TTGCTTTGGCTTGCAACGTAATGTCAATTGTCGTGCAAAGGCATCTGTTTGTTATCGTATGATACCCCTGATGATGTATTACCGAATGCGTCCAGCTTGCTGGGAGCGTGATGGCAAACATACGAATGTCTCTCAAAATTACATTCAATCCACACGCGGTGTATGCGGCGTTGTACGCCTGATAGCGCTGCTCTAGTGGTATCGGCTACCACCAGAGCATTCTTTTTAGCCGACACTTCCCATGTCACCGTGCTGACCCCGGGCATAGCATTACTCGATGATGGCGTGCCGGCCGCAGTGACGAGCTGGAAAGTTATCCTGCTCAATTAAAACATGTTTGTTTTTCCCCACGGGTGCGCTCGTGAGCACGTGATAGCACAATGGCGGAACTAAAGGCCGGCGATGTAAATCAGCCGTCAGCAACAAGTAGCTATGATGTTCATCTGACCTCTTATCTACGGCCGGCGGCATCTTTTTCGTTTTCTGCGACCTCCTGACAGATCGTTACTGAATGCGGCTGGCCGACTGATAGCGTGTTGCCAAACATATGCTGCCTTAAAAAATACCTACAACCACGCGCGGATATTCTGACCATGTGGACTTAAAAGTATTGCTGGAAGACTATCAGCTGGCACTTTAACATGGCTGTCGGCCGACGGCATCCATTTGATTGGATTGACCCCTTCACCGCGCATCGTGCAATGCTGGCGGCCCTATTGTATCGTGGATATCCATAGTCCCGGCGGTCAATTAAAAATACTTGCCGCGTGTGCGACGGCTAGACGGTGGTAGAGCTGTCGTCTGGCAGATTTAACTCAGTGTTGAGCTAAGGGCACTTATTTTGTTCATATGATCCCACGACAGCGCATTTCTTGATGCGGGCGGTTGGCCGGGTGCGTGAGTGGCAAACGTACGGCAGCCTCTGGAAAATGCTCACGATCACGTGCGGGGAGTGTGACGGCTTGCTTCTGCCAGCACCACTGCACGGCTATCAGTCGGCACCGTCAGTCGCTTGTCGGCCGACAGAATCCATGCTCTGGTATGGACCCCCGGACAGCGCACCACTGAATGCTGGCGGGTCTCTTGGCGGGTCTCTTGGCGGAAACGCAGGCGGGTCTCTTGTATTTGCAAAAATATGACAAGCAGTTCAAAAAATGATTGTCGTTCACGACGGGGGAGACCTTATGCGTATGTTCGTATTCGCTTCCTTCATATGTGTTTCTGAATGTGTATAAGTCGAATGAAATAGTAAGTGGAAACTACTTTCCACAATATTTGGTTCAAGCTATGGATAAGTCTGAGCGTGATCTATTATAATACAACAAAGGTATGTATGTCTTGGCGTGTTGAAGAAAGATAGTAGTTAGTGTTCTCACATGATTTTTTGGAATATCGTAAAGGATAGTTAGTTGCATTATTTCGCGAAGATGCTGGTCCATGGTTGATTTCGCGGTCTACACTTCAGTCCAATGTGTTGCCGTCATAGCCCGGCACGCCTGTCTCCATCCAGTCAACAGTTTTTCTACACGCTGCCACAACATCTGTACATATATTAATATGGTGTTGACGAGAACGGAATGACTACAGTCCGCGGACCGCGACGTCCGGGTAAGGTACATATGGCACGTCATGTTCACGGGGATATGCGGTACAGTATCCACAATATCAGCAGGGACTCGCGGAGCACCGGAGTCCGAGCACGAACGACAAGCACGGACAATCGAAGAGGAAACGCATGAGCCAACAACCCTACGAAACAAAACTGCACACGTACCATGTCCATTATTGGTCTACGACGAGCCCTCTAGGAGGAGCCGTGGAGCACATCTGGGCGGGTCGGCACCCCTCTTATCTCCGCGGCCCACGCACTCACTCGCTCCCACCCCGACCACCGTTTACAATGGGCGGTGCTCCGCCGCCACAGAATGCATACACGAGTTGACACGGTAAAACACTGCACCTATATAACGCTGGAGCTATCACGACTATCTGGGCTGCGCCGCGGCGGGCGTTCAAGCCTCTACAGTAGTGTGGTAACGTGACACCGTGCTGCTGCTGCTGTGGAGAACACAGACACACTCACACACACACACACACACACACACACACACACACACACACACACACACCACGCTCACACGCGCGCACGGCGAGAGCCGGCGGGTGGGACCGGAGCACGCTGCCGGCAACCGGGCCATCGCGGCACCGTGACGCACACAGGGGCGGCGCGGACAGCACCAAGCGGAAGTACGAAACCAAGCGACACACGACCAAGCGACGTGGAGCCGACGCGCTGTCGCCCCCACGCATGGCCAGCCGGCAGTCACACGGGGTGCAAATTGTACCACCGAGTTTGATGTACGCTTAAGTGGCGAACGTGAGGGATAGAGGAGTGATACGACTCTGGGTTACATCGATCAGAAGAGTGAGTGGGCAAGTGGCAAAAGGGCACAGCTACATACAGAAGCGAGCAATTGACAACAGAACAGCGAATGCGATGAAGTTCGAAATGAAACTACGGCGAAGGTTTGGTACCAATGCGTTCTCTGGAATTCATCAGCCACCGGCATGAAACAAACATTATCATGATTTTAGTCCCCTCGTAGGGATGTGTATGGTGAGCTAAAAACAAAGACTCCTTTCACAAACTTCTACGAGACGTCGCCAACAACAGGATTTCAAATGTCATTACACATTCTGTTCCATTTCCAAGAGAGATCATCACGAAAAGCGGGACGAACCCGATCACGCCGCTATCTGCCCACGCTAAACTTAAACGATAATATCGCAAATGTAGCATAAAAAACTGATTTTGAAGCAAACAATTAATGAGCTGTGCAAAAGCTAATACAGGGCTTCCGTCGGACATGTTAAATGCGAGAAGCTAACCATGCTCCAAACAGTGTTCCCGGATCTAAGCACTCCGAAAACCGCTACGTGGGGCGTCCATCAGTCGGGAAGAGGAAGGAATCCAACACTCATTTATCAGTAGCCCAGCCAAAAAGAAGGCAAGTGATTACTCTCTGCGGGTTGTGATTCTAAACACCTGCCGTCGCACAAAGCTATGCGAAAGTGATAACGGGAGACACCACCGACACTTCAGGCAGACTCAGTGGATGTGCGTCGACTCCGCATCCCACGACCTTACAGCTAATGACTAGATTGCACTCGACCGGCCTTCGTGAGACTGCAGTGTTAACTGGCTCACACCGGTTTCATAAGTACGAACACAACATGACACGAACACTCATGCGCCGGCATAGACACGGCATGCATGTAAACAACACGCGCTCGCGCGCGCTCGCGCACACACACACACACACACGCACACACACACACACACACACACACACACACACACACACACACACACACACACACACACACACACACACACACACGCACACACACACACACACACGCACACACACACACACACACACACATATATATATATATATATATATATATATATATATATATATATATATATATATATTCGCATGGCATTCATCGGCAGGGCCGTTAAGTTCAGCGTTTAAGCGCTAGAGCCTATCAGACCAGAACTTTTGCTTCTCTACAGCCTGTCCACGGTTAGTTTTGGAAGAATGCTGCTACCAGCGGTCCGATAATTCCCGGGCAGCATGTTCATAGGCTGAAGTTTGGCTTTGATGCAGAATACAGCCGAAATCGCCAGACGCAAGTCACCGTGACGCATGAGTCACAACAGAGTTCACTACTATTAGCACTCAGCCAAGGCCCAATGCGTAGCAAGCCGCGACTGAAGCGCAACATGCTGTCTAAAGAGCGCAAGAGCGAATGATAACGGCACTTGACCATAAAAGCCGCACGGTGAATGCAGTGGCCAACCGCCCGCCAGCTGTATAGTCACATCACAACCGTGTGGGTTTGGAGACGGGCCATCTGGACAACATCTGTCCAGTCACGCCGGTCATCTGCATACGGCTCTGCACACAGGTTGGATGTGAAGCCTTGGGGTCAAGTGTCAAATGGCGCACCCTGCGATCTGTTATGACCAAGCTTCAAGTAGCGCAGCGAAGCCGGCGGATAAAGTGAACCGTCCTAGCATTCCAAGCCAAGCTAAACGAGCTGCGAAGCCCGCCACAACACATTCATTATCTGTACACCTTCAACACGCACGTGACCATGACGAATACCCACCCACGCATTCCCTGAGGCGGTCAGCTCACCCCGACTCTTTGCCCCCTCGCACGCCACGCACCTGCCCTGAATCGAACCACGTACAAACCCTCTCTCGCTCCCACAACGCACGCACGCGCTGCTGTACGAACACACCCTGAGCGTGCCGACGGTTAGCAGTCGGACAAAACGTATGTGCTCCGAACTCCAGGTGGGGTGCAGAGCGGAGTGAGCTACTGTGTCTCTCGCTCGGGTCAAACAAGCTGAACATATTGTTTCACAGTCTAAAACAACAAAAAGACACGCACAAATACATGATCCCTGGCGTGCATTCGTAGACACAAGTTTCTAAAAGGACTCGTACAAGAACTCGTAGCTGAACATTTCGAGCTAGAAAAAGAAAGCCCACAAACATTTCGAGTTGAACGATCTCTTTCTTTGATAAGACGATGTGTTTAGCTCAGCTAGTATCGCAGAAATTTGACCTATCGCATCGACGCAACCGATGCGTGTAACTCCACACATGCACACGCCCTCGTACTCGCCTCTCACTCCATGTCTTTGGTATCAGCTGCCAATGGCCCGCTTCAGGAGCCGGGCTGTAACACATGACAAGAACACAGCACACAGGCCTGTACAGCTGTACAACACGGCGGCGGCGGGCTCATCCCAGACGCCCGCGCGCGCGCTACAAATGGAATGTTACAGCATGGAGGGCGACGCTGCGGAACGCGAGCGCCGCGCGGAACAAAATACACAGAGACGGGGGCGGCGGCGGCTCCGGCCGAGTCGCCGAGCTCGAGTCAGAGTCGGAGCCGGCTGAGGCGGCTGCTGGCGAGGCGTCTCATCTAGTCCGAGTCCGAGTCCGAGTCACTGGAAGGCGGTTTAGGTGGCGGCGGCGGCTCCGCGGCCGGCTTCGCTGTCGAGGTCTGCGTGGCTGAGACGTACGCAGCAGGCTCTTCTCTCGAGTAGCTGAACTCCATCTCCACCTTGTACTCGTACCTGAGGGCGGAAGACACGCGATGATGGACGGTGCTCCGATCAGTGAGCTCCTGTGGAGTGACAACTCCATGTTCATATGTTTTATGGTGCACAGCAACACACAGCGTTCGGGAAAAATAGCATTGCACGACGCAATTTCTTGCCACAAAGCGAACAATAAAACACCCTTTTCGTCGCGTGAAGAAAACCTGATCACATGAAACACAATGAATATTAGAAGCCACCCAAGTGGACTGATGCTCTCTGCCGGAACAGTTCGCATTTTCGACAACTAGATCCCTTGTTTGAGAAGGACGCGACAGCTGCACACGGTGATCTGAACTTGATTCACTGTCGGTATTTTTGCAAGCAGTGGAGGGGTCAGCTGTGCGTTGCACGTCACCGCGCAATGGGCAGACTCTCATGCTCCTGCAGCACTCAGATCTGCGCGACCTGCATTCTCTCAGACCGCCGTGTGTGGACCTCCGGCCGCCGTGTGCGGACCTCGCTCGCAGCGCGGACGGCGCCCTGCGCACCTGGCCAGGTAGCGGACGTATTTCTCTGGCGGGTCGCCGCTGCCGCCGCTGATCGAGGCCGACCGGCACACCGTGTGAGACGCGGTGGTGTGCGGCATCGTGTACTCCACCCAGCAGAACTTGTCGAACGTCTCCGGCATCTGGTCGAACGACGTCAGGTTCAGCTTGCAGGAGAACGTGTGGTTTGTGTAGGCACCTGGAGGGAAACGGCTCAGGTCAGCCTCCGAGCTCGAGCTTGTGGTCAGGAAGCACTGGAAACACAGGTGCGCGATCACTGAGAACACAGAGCTGGCTTCATCCTCCCCTTGGCGTGTTTGCTTCCAGACTCGCAGGTGCCACATGGCGCGCTGTATCGTCTGAGACCGATCGTGCCGACAGCCAGCAGTGGACGTGGGCTCACCCTGGCCCTCCTTGGGCAGCCGGGGTATCCTCCAGACGATGGCGCGGTGGTGATGTTCGTATTTGGCGCTGCCCGACGACACCTCCATCATGCTCTGCTCCAGGGTGTCCACCGCGCCCAGGAACCGCTCTATGCCCTTCACCTTGCCCTGGCTGCGGGACCGGCGGACGAGTCAGATGTAGCTCGACAAGCGGACAGGCAATGATCGCTGGCTGAGAACGCTTGTCCTGCTCTCGGCGCAAGACGTTCTGTGGCCCGCAATCTACATCAAACCGCTCTGTATCACCTTGCCGCTGGACGTGAACCCCACTCTGACTGAAGCAGAGCTGAACACCCAACAAACGGATCCCTGGCCATGCCTTGTGCACCACACGGCCAACCGGGAGACCAAACGTCCTGGTGTAAACACATTTAGATAAATGCGGATTCGGAATACATGCTGGTCACGGCATTATATATACGAAAGACATCAATTTGCATGTTGTCAACAAAGCCATGCGTCTTGGTACCACGATAGACAAACCAAAACCCAGGAAGCATTGAGCACTTAAGCAGGTGAATATTTCATTAAGCCAGTATGGTGTCGCGCATCGTGGTTCCCATGTTAACACGCATGTACAGTACTCTATGTTGAAGCGTTTTATCTACGCCGGTCACCAAACGGAGAAAACTTAACACCCTACAGAGAAAACTTAACGAATCATGCACATCAGACCATTTTGTTTCATTCTGCTAGTTCATCTTCATCATTTTTTTCATCTTCATTTGTTTCAACAAACAGAGCAAACAGAGCAAACGCTCTGACACAATCTCCTCTCTCTCTCTCTCCTCCTCCTCCCTTTTACAGTCACTCTCTTTCTCCCTCTCTCTCCTCCTACTTTTCACACCCCTTCTCTCCTTTCCTCTCTTTCCCTTCCCCCCCCCTCTCTCTCTCTCCCTCTCCAGTTCTCTTCCCAACCTTCATCCTCCTCGCTTTCCCCGCCTTCCTCGCAGTCTATCCAGCAGTGACACCTACCGGCGGTGAGAGGCCTTCACGGAGCCGTAGCGGAAGTGTTTCTCGACGCGGAACATGTAGATCCAGCACTCGGGCAGAGGCACGCGCACTGACACGTCCTCGCAGGGTATCTGGCCCATCTTCCTGCTGATGTAGCCGGGCACCAGGATGTCTCCCGTGATCTCCACCTGACGGACGCCAAGAAACGCTGAACAACACCTACACAGAGATCTCGACTTGTAAATATTGCGTATCGAGCAGGAATGCCGATAGTGCAGTGTTAAGGTTGCGTGTCTCGGAAGCCAGAGGTACACGGTTTGATTCCCCGACGACCGGTAACGAAGCACCGAACAAAGTTTAAACTGGTAAGATCAATAGTGGGTGTGCAATGTCTCCAGTCGTGTGAGTGCACACGTATATGGTACGAAACAGTGGCAGCACGTCACGTGATTGCGTGCAGAGAGAGAGAGAGTACCAACGACGCAATGTTCTGAGTGTTCACTCCGGTGCTCCAGAAGAACACTTTTTTGGAAGAAGTAGCCAGTGCTTATGTGCTCAGGGCTAGACTGGGTCTTTGGTTCACAGCGATTTCAGTGAAGGCATCCTTGTCAAAGTTCATGTATGTTTAGGAAGTGAGCGAAGTGCCCAACGCCCAGTAGTCTGAAGCTATTTGTGCTCTGAGGAGGCCAGCATTACGTCACAAAATGAGCACAACCATTAACTTGATGTTTCAAACAAAGCCCTTGGCGCTCTCTTACCATGCTGAGTGCACATATTCGACCATCTGGCTGGTGGGTCACTTGAGTGAAGGAAGACAAAAATAAAAGAGGGATCCAGCGTTGCCTAAAAATGAAAAGATTTTACCTGCGTCGGAATGGATACCACACGAATCCTCGCGGGGCAGCGGTTCGATGGCGTGTGTGTACAAATGCGACGTGAGCTAGTTTAACCCATCGTTAGCACTATCTGACCTCACTTTGACCTTTCTGTCCCCTGTTCGACCTCGACCAAGAGAGCAGAAAACGTCAAGCCATGGGAAATAGAATGTCATTTGTCAAACAGATCTCACATCGTGACTTCATCAGATACTTTGCATGAACACAAAGTATAAGTCGTTAGACATCAAAGTGTCTCTGGGGCACGCTTATGAAATGTGCTGGCCTTCTTTCGGTGGGCTTCTGCCTTTTGCGGAAGTCACTGCAACTGATCCCTGCCACCGGCTATAAAGCCTGCGAGGTTCTCAATCTCGATCATTGGCAACATCTCTTCGGTAAATCATTTATAACGTTTGTACACCGCCCAAATACACAATAAACGGATAGACGTTGTTGGCTACCCATTCAGTGGTCGGCTGCTTACCCACCGGCTAGTATCGCTATAAATAATTTGGATCATCAGCCAAGAGGACTCATCTACGAGATCCAACAATTCTCATTCCTAGTTAACGAATGGGGTGGCAACTTCAAAATCAATCGCCACCGACATAGACAGCAGCGTCAAAGCCACTGCTACTTCTTCATTAATATGGACGTTGCTCGAAACCAGGCGGGGCACGACTTTCTGTGCATAACTGTTAACACTGCTCCAACCACGGGCTTACCAGCCGGTAGTTGAGCCGGTCCAGGTACGGCTTCAGTTATTATTAGGGTCGTCGGCGGACACCGGTGCGGGCAGCCACACGGGTACACTGTCCGCTGACGCTCCCAAAGAAAGAGCTGAGGCTATACCGGAATATGCTTACGATAGGACGGCTAACAAGCCTTTGGTCGGAGCGGCGTTGACTGTCACGCGCCACCACGTGGCCTGCTGGAGGCCTGAGGCGATCATGTCCGTCTGGTCTCGGTGGTGGCGGTCATAATGAAAAAAGCTGTAATGCCTTCGGCGCTGTTGTCAAAGCAGGCAGAGAACGGTTTAGAGTATGCTGCACCTTTCGTCAATTGGGACACAGAGTTGTTAGATGTGGTAGATGATTTCGCTTGAGTGGTATTACAACTTCTTCATCTTGATGCTGGCGGGCAGCTAAGTAATCCAGTCGATTAATGGGAAGCCAACGACAGCTATCCATTTTAAAGTGAATTTGAGCGTTGTACAAAAATTTGCTATCATGTTGCAGAGAATGGTGCGTCAATGATAAAAATCCTTGCAGGCATTGTAGGCGGCGACAAAAATCGTCTGCAGCAGCTTCTGTAGGAGGTGGAAGCCCACCAATAGAAAATCAACACTTAATGTAAGCGTGCACTGGACATACTTCCCTGTGTAACGACGCACAATGATACAATGAGCGTGCAGATATTTTAGGCAACAACAATTAATTCAATTAAGTTAAATAAGGATTAAATGATGATGAAATATACATTATAACAATCGAACAACTATCTTATGAAGTAACGCTATAACAAGAAGGATGCTTGGCATATATTGTTTTAGTTGACTTGGTTAGACATTTTTCTCTCAGTAGCGGTTCAAACAGAGGATAGAAAGCGTCGAAATTACGTCAGACTGGGTCAAAGAGGGATCAGATATGCTGGCATTGAATTTAAATGCACGCTCTCGAACCATTTTCCTTGGATGGTTCGTTTGACCTCCATCTCGCCTCAGTTACGAATATTTTCATTTTTGAGCACTACTGCCTTCCGTAAGGAAAAATATAACTCCGCTTCGGTAAGTGACACACCTCTTTGCTGTTATGGTAAAAAAAACTTTAAGAGGGCGTTAAGGGCCTCGTTTCAAGCCTCAAAGCCGATGTTAACGACCATTTTGTATGGCCTTGCTGGCCTACTATGGGTGAAAATGCCTCAAAGCTTCCGAGCTTTAAGCTATTTGCACACATAATTTTGATAAAATGACGTTGCTGAACTCACCTTGAACCAAATAATCATTAATTTTCTGAGAACCCATGCTTTTTTAAGTTTCGACACCCCCGTGTTTACATGTAACTATCACCAAATGCAAATGCAATGCTATTTGCGGTGGCTTTGCACTGAAATGGAAAACCACATCGACTCTTGTTATATTAATGTCTTGCATGGGCAGCCCACCACCCACAGATGGCGAAGGTCTGTGACGTGCGATGTCGCCCCACGTGTCCCGGCCACCGGGCTGGGCGTCCCAGCCCCGCCCGCCCACCTTGTTCTGGAGGATGGTGTACTTGATCTTGGCCTGCAGGGGCAGCTCTCGACTCTTGGGCGGCCGAACCCGAAACCTCATCAGCTCAATGTAGCAGCCGTCGGGGGGCTTAAACTGGAACAAATCAGCGCCTAGGTGTCAGATAACAGTGCACGCACACAGCAATCTTTCGTAAAATTTAGCACTCCGACGACCGTTTAAATGCCGGAATCGCAATATGACGAGCATTGCAAATATATTGCAACCGATGACGTCACACGGCCCACCTTCAGGATCTGCGACTCCTTGAAAGCCTGCAGGTCGATGGCGTTGTGGAACTCGACGTCCTCGAGGCGGATCCACTCCTCGGTGGCCACCGGGATGATGTCATGGCGTCCCACCACCTCTTTCCCCTGACGCCGAAGGTCGTTGATTCCCAGCTCTACATCAGGCATACCTGCACAAGGTAATGTTAATCACTCAGTGTGCTTCGTCGGCATCTGGTAAACATCACGAATGTAATCACTTAGGCCTGCCACTACTCTGGTATTGAGCTTTGACTACCGAGCCACCAGCATCGAACCGCTCCAATCGCCAAAGAGCACCGAGCCGTGCACTGAGTCATCATACTGATCCAAGAGCAGCAAGCAGCACATACGGAACAGCTCCACCAAACAGAAAGTGCCGAGGCGTACGAACTAAGCCATAGAAACGAGGCGCAAACAGGAAAACATCCCATTGACCAAAGAGCACCGAACAGCACCCACCGAACCACTCAGCCCAGCCAGAAATAGCGTGCCGCACACACTGAGGCCCTCCAGCGTGCACACTGCGCCAAGAGCACCAAGCCGCACACACCGAACCATCCCCGGATCCCCTGCGGACAAGCGAACGCACCGGCGCCGTGCCTGTCGCGAGCGAGGCCGCCAGAGCCGGCCCCAGCCTCACCGGAGAGGAAGGCGAGGAAGAAGAGGCGCACCCGAGCCAGCTGTCGGGTAACGGCGCCGGTGACGTCCTGCTCCAGGTACACCTCGTCCACGCCCGTGATCTGCACCTCCTCAGTCTTGTAGCTGAGAGCCCGGTCACGGTGCACGTTCACCTGCGGGCCGAGGGGCGACGATCAGCAGAAGTCATGCCCCGTGCCGGTCCGGCCGGCCGGCAGCGACAGCTGGTGCCGCCGCCGATGCGATCAGCAGAAGTCATGCCCCGTGCCGGTCCGGCCGGCCGGCAGCGACAGCTGGTGCCGCCGCCGATGCGCTCACAGCCGATTAAGTTCGACGAAAGTTGGAATCGATACCGGGTGCAGTGTATAGCTGGAAAGAGATTGCTTATTGTCAGTTGTAATTTTCGCCATGGATTTCGAGTGATGAAATATCTTCCACCGTGCGTTTGGTTGGCACCATGTAAAACATCGATGCGACAGGTGCGCACCGCCTCCTCCAATGACCTACATGAAACAAGGTTTCCTCGACGTAGGAGGCGAATCTCTTGACATCCTCGTACTGCTGCGTGCCCAGCTTGAGCAGCTGGGAGATCTGAGGCGCGTGCTCCACCGGCATGCCCAGCTTCCGCACGTCGCTGGCGAACTCCTTGACCCGGTCGTAGTCGCCCTCCCAGGCGGAGATGGCGAACTGGCCGATCTTCTTCGTGATGCGCTCAGCCTGTCGCGGCGGGTGTCGGATGTCAGGTGTTAGGCCAGCGGGCCAGCCGAAGCTGACACTAGCCGGGGCAATCGGCATGAGTGAGAGCCGGTGATAGAGGTGGAGACCTACATCGGGATGGTACAGAGCGTGACGATTACAGATTACATTGAGGCTTGCGATCGGTCGCCCGCTTCTGCTCTTGCGCACAGAAGCGTTTGTAAGAATCATTTAAATATGGTACGTAACCGCGCCGCGAGTGAATGATTGTTAGAATCGGTGGAGACCAGAACGCCTCACCCTACGAAGGCACAACGGTTACTCCAGCGTAGGGCTTTCATCCCTTGCTTGTTATCGGTGTCGTAGGTTACCTTCGTCATTTGCCCTGGACGAACACCGGGTCGCTCCTTGTAGAAGATATATTGCAGCTTTACGGTGAATATTTTACCGTACTGATCGTACTGCTGAGCACCTGCAAAATACCGCTCGAATGAAGACCACACAAAAACCTATGATTGCTTGAATCAAATACAACGCAGACGCTATAATCGAAAGGACCGTGAAACGCTGGAAATATGGCTGACACCGAACGCGAGCAGCAAGATTTGAGTGTACTGTGCATGATCATACAATTTCCGATGTCAGTGCCCAGAAGACCTAATGAGGGACCGAGAGTATGTTCCTCTTGTACGTCTTTTGGATAATGCCATCGGACGCTTTCATGGGTTATCTAGGCAGATGACCACGCGCTCTCTCTTCAAATGCGTCATGACATTCATCGTGACGTCATGACGAGGATCATGACATCTTAAAAGCCAGAATTCAATCATCATATACTTGCCACTTCAGTGCTCTGGGATCTACCACTCCCCTCCAAGTCGCTGACCCAGCCGCGGCCACTCACCGACATCTGAGACCGAGTAGCACGCCTGCAGCGGCAGCTCCTGGAAGGGGTCGGCGTCCTTGCGGTCGTGGAACAGCTGCAGCACGGCGTTGTCGGCCAGCCGAACAAATATCTTCTTCCAAAAGCTGCAGCATACATTGAAGTGGTCAGGGGCGTTCAACGGCTCAACAATACCCACTACACTGCTGGTTTCTTGTGAATTTCATGCGTCGCAATTCTTCTGAACTTCAGTTACATTGCTGAAGACATTGGGAGTATGCCAAATGCCCCTGATATGGAAAAGTTGTTGACGCTTTGGTCGTTTTAAGACCCTGCGATTCATTACGTCGTTGATACTATTTTGCCCGCAACGAAGTTCATTAGTTCACCCAGGTTCTGAACGGTTCAAATTTCGAGCCCCAGACTCGAGCAGTGGAATTACATAACGCACACGTCCTCCATTTGGAAGAGTAGATTCTGCTCACGCACATGCATTACTCACAGCTTTACGACGCGTTTTCGTGGCCCAGGAATAAAAAGACATCGACGCTTATATTCGCAGTGGCATCGATCAACGCCCACGTTCATAAGTGCGGCCAGCGGTTGAGTTATGGATGAATGACGCGTGAGCGCACCCGACCCCTCCCCTCCCCTAGCTCTAGCGCCCGACTCAGCCGGCCGTGGGAGACCGCGCGCGCCGCTCACCGCTGCCCGGTGATCTTCTTCTTGTTAGGCTGACGCAGGAACATGTCGAACTCGGCCGTCTCCCAGACGGTGCGCGGGAACGGCTCCAGCGGCTGCGAGATGTCGTCGTCGAAGAGCGGCGTGGCTGGCCCGCTGCCCGCCTCCGGCTCGGGCTCCGGCCCGGGCCCCGGCCGCTCCACTGCGACCGTCGGCGCCGCGTTAGACTCAGCTGACCTCCGCTCGCCACGCGACTTCCAGCCTCTGTATTTGTGTTTGTCCTGTCACGCTATATATGAAGCGGCAGGTCGCTCCGAGCGTTTAATTAACACGCCCTTCAGCACACACGAGTATTTCGCGGTCGCACTGTCAGGAGCAATGTCCTGTGAACAGACAGCGGTGGGCATTGATCCTACACTGACCTTTGGCTTGCGCCAGCTCCAGGTTGAGGTCCATGGCAGCGCTGGCGAATGGGTTGATGCTGGCGTTGTCCTGGAAGGCGGCGACAGCCGGTCGCGGCGGCGGCGCCAGCGTCGGCACCTGCGACTGGGAGACCCAATCCTGCTGCGGCCTGCCGGGGGACAGACCACGTCCGTCAGTTCTGCTCGCCAGCTCCCACAGCGAAGTCACCACACAGTGCGCAGTGACGTAGCCAAGGGTGAGTTTAGGGGTTGCCCTTTCACCCTGGAGGCGGCGGGGCCGCCCTGGGGCAGAAGGCCCCAGTTCTGATGTGGCAGTTTAAGACGCACGTAGGGTTTCTAAACATAAGAAAACCGAACCGGGGCATCAACATAGGATCCCGAGCGTAAAAAGGTTCTTCAAATACAAACGCATGGCTATCGACAAAGAAGATCCCACTTGACTGAAAGGGACCCTTACGGCCTGATTTGGTCCGCTCTTAGGCAAAATCCTGGTTATGCCGCTGAGATGCGCCCACATCGGATGGACACCGGCCTTTTAAAACAACAGACATCTGACAAATCCCAACACTTTTGACAGCGGCAAGACGGGACTCGCTGACCACGACCCCACCAGGCCCGTCAGTGCGCCTGCTGACCGTATGACAACGTTGAGGTCGGTCTGCTCGTCTTCTGAGTGTTGTTTGCTGGCGGCGCGGGCGGGGGTCGACTGCGGCACCGGCGGCGGCGCCGTCATCGATAGGAACGAGTCAAACGCCGAGTCCTCGAAGCCCATCTGACCTGACGCCGCCGCCGTTGCACCCTCGGAAGAACCCCACGCTGAAACGGCCGCAAGGAACAGTCCAGTGGTCAGATGCGTGTGTCGGCGGGGCTAGGCTAACGAAGGTTGAGGGATAATGCATCCAGGATTGCCTAAACGAGATCGTAATCGAACGTTCGTTCGTTTTTAAGCAGTCTGTGCGGTAAACGATAGCTGAGTACACTAAGCACGCCATTTTTCAGCGTGCTGGGAGGGCTTATTAATTCATCATATTTATCATGATGTGTTCCCAGCGCAATAGAAATATTGGATGGTTTCGTCTGAGATTACCTGACGCTTTCGACTCCGTTGCTCCGGCGGCACCAGCGAACGGATCGAACGGGTCAGCAGCGACCGTCTCGTCCGCCGCCTTCTCGAAGCGTGCCGCGAACGCGTCAAACGCATCCTCCGGCGCTGCCCCGGCCTCAGCCTCCGCCGTGTCCAGGAACGGATTGGGCGAGGGCGGCGGCTGGCGGCGCGGTGGCGCCGGCGGCGGCGCGCGTCGCGGCACCGCCGGCGCCTCTGGCGGCGCTGAGAACAGGTCCAGCGCCGCCGGCGCCGGCCCCGCCGACGCCGGAGGCGTGTCGAAGAGGTTCAGCGGCGACGGCAGCGGCGCCGAGGGCGTCACCGTCGGGCCGAGGCTGAAGGCCGAGACGTCGGCAGCGGGACGCTCCGACGCGGCTTCGAAGACGCTGAACGGGGAGACTGGCGGGGCAGGCGGCACCGTGGGACCGGGCAGCGGCGGTCGCGGCGGAGGCGGCGGGCGGGCTGGCTTCTGCACCGGCTCCGGTGCTGGCGGCGGCGGTGGAGGCGGCGGCGCGGCCTCTTCGGCCGGCACAGACGGCTGGTACTGGCCAGGAGGCGGGCCCTCCGCCAGGATGGGTGTGGTGGTCACAGACGGTAGCGGCGAGGGTCCGATTGGACTCATCGGAGACGGCGGCGTGATGTGGGACGCCGGCACTACCGGCGAGCAGAACTCCTCCATGAAGGCGGCCGCTGTGTGCGCCTTGCTCGGATCCTCCGGCGGCTCGACTGTCGACTCGGTCAGCGTCACCACCGGCGTGTCCAGCTCCAGCTCCAGCGGTCGCAGAGCCACCTCCTCCGAGGGAGATGACGGCTTGGCCGCTGGCGGCGGTGGCGGCGCCAGCTGCGCAGCCCCCTCATCTTCCTCTTGTTTTTCTTCGGCATCCGGGACCGTTGCAGCTGGTGCCGCGGGCTGTGGCGCATCCTCAGACTGAGCCTGAACGCTGGACTTGATCGGAGAACCTTCCAGAATGGTGACCACCGGCGTTGGCGGCAACGGTCCATCCAGAAGGTTTTCTGGTGGCGGTGGCGGCGCTTCGTCGTGGAACGAGCTGCTTAGCAGATCCACCTCCTGGCGCTGCTGTGTGGACGGCGCGTTGAACAGGCTCAGGATCTGGTCATTGGTCTTGGCCTTGGCCACGGGAGCTGAATCCCAGAGATCGATCTCCGCCGGCTGAGCCGGACTCGCAGCTCGCGCATCCTCGTGATCACTCAGCTCCTCCACGGTTTGGCCGAACGCCGCGCTGGGGGCGAACGCGGGCTGTCCGTTATCGTAGAGCAGGCAGGCAGGCATGACACGTCAAAACGAGAAATAGCGAAGACGTCTAACTTAAAAGCAGATCCGAGATGGCGGCGTAAAAGTATAATGTATGGCTTCTATGCAAAGCATACAGTGGCTTCTAATACTCTACGTAAAACTGAAGACAAAAATTAGTGGTGAAAGAATTTAGCAACTAAGAAATACAACAACAAAAAATGATGCAGGCTTAATTTGCGCACCACGTGACAAGACCTGTGTCTGTATCCAATTGGGGCCCAAATTGGCTCGAGGACAAGTTAGATTTGCCTTGAATCATGGTGGGATCAACTCCTTAACATTGCCTTATGGGTCAAAGTTAGCCAATCAACCAAGTTATTGTTCAGTTGGCTCCAATAGAAATATATACAAAGTAAAGTACTGGCTTTCGCACAAACGGTGTGTGCGAAATGCACACACCGTTTGTGCGAAATGCACACTATGCACACATATATACATATATAGTAGTTCCAGTCGCTACGTATTACGTTATCGTCATTCATGCTGCCATAAACATGAAATATATACTATATATGTATATATAGTTGCATAGATGCCCCATTTGGTTTTTGAAGCACAGAGAACGGCTTATCTCTAAGTTTGGTCGACAAAATCAGCCTATGAGATTTACTTGCAGCTTTGAGTCATGTCTAACTCAAAATTAGATTTGGCACTAAGTTGCGCTGTGCTGCCTGCAATCAAATTCTGAATCAAACTCGCACGGTACTAATCAAAGTCGGGGTCGAGTCCGCTGAAGTTAAATCAAGAACAATGCGCTGGCGACTAACACGGCAAATGTCGATCTGCAATCACACACACCACCGAATGAGTCGTTTGATTGACAGCCATTGGCTCCACTCAGCCGTCGAGCACGCAGAACCAAAATTACATGGCGCGATCACGCGCCATGGCCGACCACCCACCTGAAGGCCACGTCGGTGTCTTGCGGCGGCGCTGCGTCGTCGAAAAGCGGCGGCGACGGCGAGCGAGACATGTGCGTCGGGCTCTGGCGCGGCGTGCGCACGTTGTTCAGCTGGCCAAACAGCGAGTCGCTGGCCGCCTCCATGTGGCCGGTGACGGAGGCCAGCAGATGGCGCGTGGCCTCCGGCACCGGGGGCCGCGGCGGCGGCGGCGCCCGGCCGTCCAGCAGGTCCTCGGCAGCCGCCGCCGCCACGTTCACCGTCGGCAGCGGCGCCGGCGCCGCGTCAGCGAAAGGGTTTCCGCAGGAGGAGTCCACCCGCGGCACGTCGGCGGACGCGAGGAAGGCTCCGAACGGGTTACTGTCAACGGCCGCCGGCGGCGCGTCGTCCATAAACGGGTTGCTGAGGACCACCTGGTCCTGCTGCTGCGTCTCGAAGCCACCGAAGCCGGCCATCTCCAGGAATGGGTTGCCGGACGCCATGGTGACGTGGGCCGGGTGCGCGGGAGGGCGGATGGGGTGGCTCTCACGACTGGAGCAGCTCACGCTCGAGCACCTGGAGCTCAGCCTGGCCCGGCAGCAGGCTGTCGGCGATGCTCGTGTCGAACGGGTCGGCAAGCTCGGCCTCGTCCGCCGTCTCCGACACGGCGCTGGCGGCCAGGACCGGCACCAGGTGGCCGCCACCCAGCTGCGAGTCCAGCAGATTCACCCCCAGCTGCGGCGTCTCGGGGCGCGCGACCTTCTCGTCGCCGCGCGGGTCAAAGTCGGGATCACTGACGGAGCGCTTCAGCACCGACGTTGGGCTCGCGTCGGCGGCGGCGAACTCGCGCTCGAGCACGCGCAGCTCGGTTGTGCCGTATCGCTCAGCGATCGACGTGTCGAACGGGTCGAGCGTTACGGGCGACAGCTGCACAGGCGGCGGCGGCGCGTCGGCTGACGGCTGCAGGGTCGGCAGCCGCTCGGCAGACGGTGACACAGCCAGCAGCTGGTCGGCGGACGGCCGCGGCGGCGCGGGCTCGGCGAACGGCGCGCGGAGGACGGGTGGCGGTGGCCGCGGCGGCTGCTTTGTGCACGAAACCTCGCCGATTAGCTCGCTCTCGAGCACGCGCAGCTCCGTGTGGCCGAACTGGTCGGCGGCGGACGTGTCGAACGGGTCGAAATCCTCGTCGGCCGGCAGCTGACTGTGAGGGCCCGGGGCGCTCGGCTGCAACAGGGGGTTCGGGTCCTCCGGAGTTGTTGCCAACAGTGCAGCAGAGCTCTCCGAGACTTGCAGCGAGCGCGGTTTTGTGACACGACCTCCGTCTGTCTCGCAGGAGCTAGCGATGCCGAGCGCTTCGACGTGCGACGTGTCAAACACGTCCTGCTCCTGATCGATCTCTTCTATCGTTTCGTTTGCAGCCGAAACAACAGAGGCGCTCGTGTCGGTGGTGGCGGCAGTCGGCTTGTTTGCAAGAGTGGGCAATAGGTCTGTCAGCTGTTTTGCCACTGGCGCGGCTGTTGCTCCCAGAAGCTCCTTTTCCAAAACGTTCACCTCAACAGCACCAAATTTATCAGCTATAGAGGTGTCAAACGGATCCTGTTCCTCCTCTGGGCACTCGTCGTCCGTCCGCTGTGGCACAAGGGCCACCGGAGCGACGTCTTCTTCCACGGGTGTGAGCGTCAGGAGCTCCGGTAGCGCCGGCGTTTGCTCCCGCTCCTCGTCGAAGGAAACCGCGAAGCTGGCCTTCACCTGAAGCGCTGGAGGTGGAGGCCGAGGCGGCGCACTGGTAGCCGAGAGATCAAGTCGCCCCTCGAGGTTCACTGGAACGGCAGGTGACGCGTTGCTCAACAGTTCACTTTCGAGAACCTTCAACTCGACGTTGCCGAACGTGTCCGCGATCGACGTGTCGAACGGATCAACCTCCGGTTCGTTGGCAGCGTCTTGTGACTGCTGAGGAGGTATGCAGACAGGAGTAGAATCCTGTGTCGGTGTTGAGGCCAGCAGCTGCTCCGCGTCTACGATAGGTTGAGCGACAAACCCACCGGCGAACGAGGTGTCGAAAGGATCAGGCTCCGGCTTCTCTTCACCTGCACGTGGGTCGAAGTCGTCGGCTTCAAAAGGAGCTGGAACTTGGGCAGGTGGCAGGACCTCGGAAGAGCTGAGAAGCTCGTCTTCAAGGAGCTTGATCTCAGTACCACACAGCTTACCGGCAGCAGAGGTGTCGAATGGGTCAACCTCCTCTTCTTCTTCGTCAAGAGCTTCTGGCTTGCTCTCTGCTTTCCTACAGAAGTTAATGGGTTCGGGAAGGGGCTCGTAGTCGTGATGTTCGTTTGACGTTAATAAATCTGGTTGCTCCTTTTTGGGCGATGTGATGATAACAGGAGGCGGAGGGCGCGATGGTTTTGGTTTGCACTCTCCAAAGTCGGCTTCAAACTTGACGTCGTCCTCGTCAAAGTCTGCGGCGACCTCTGTCACCTTGTCTTCGCCAAGGATTTGCTTCGCTGCTGATGTGTCAAATGGATCGTCGTCGCCTATTAACTCCTCGCGATCTTTAGCTCGGAGCAACGACTCATTCGCAAGGGAGTCAAACGCACAGTCGTCCTCGTCGGGTGGTTGAGCAGTAAGGATCGCTTCGTTGCTGCCTGCACTGGGAACCTCCGAAACAGTCTCGAACTCGCTGACAATCGAGCTTATCTGCTTGTTGGGAGACCCTTGGGCAGAAACCTCGTCACCTGGGGAAGATACTTGGGCGCTCCTGAATTCGGGAGTTACTGCTAAATTTAGCTCAAACTCACCGCCATCACAGATGTCCTCATCGAGAAGTGTTTTCGCTGGTGTTTCTTTGGGTTCTTGACAAACTCCTTCGGCAAGGTTATTTTGATTTTCTGGGGGAGCGGATGCCTCAGAGGAATCTAATAAGTCTAAAGAGCCTGGTCGTTTATAGACGCCCCTTTCCCTGCGCCTCGATTTTTTCGGCACAGCCTCAGCGGGGGCTTCCGCCTCCTCGGGCTTCTCAGCGTCCTCCTGAGCTCCACTCAAGAGTTGAACGGCCTTGCCTAGCTTGATCGCCTTTAGTTTACTCCTTTTCTGCTGCTCTGGCGTCTCGCGGAGCACCTGATCGACTACCGAAGTGTCAAACGGATCGTCTCCCTCCTCGGTCGGGCTATCCGGTATAACAGCGAAGTTGATATCACCGCTGGTGACCGCGTCCACGTACTCGGTGTTGAACACGTCCTCCTCGAAATACTGGGCACGCTCGAGCTTCTCAACCTCGGATAACACCAATTCTAAGTCGACCTTTTCAGGTGTCGGTGATCTTGGGGGCTCTTCAACCGGCGCTGTTACAGGCTCTGCGGCTGGTTCTTCAGCTTCCTCTTCCTCTTCCCCCGCGTCAACGTCTACCCATTTTGGCTTGCTAGCGACGGCAACAGCCGGCTTCTCGTCTCTCTTGCCTTCTTCGGGATCCTTTGCGGCCTTCTTCCTGATAAAATAGCTGGTCTCCTTGATGGTCTGAAGACTCTCTTTGGTGGTGCTTAGGACCGAGTCAACACCAGAGGTGAGAGCACGAAATTTAGCCCACTCGTCCGACTCGGGCGCCGACTTCTCCTGCCGCTGGCTGGACTCAGCGTTTGGGTCTGCCGCCTCTGTTTCCTCCTGGTCCTCGCCACTCTCTTCGGTCTGCGCCTGCTCTCTCTGCTCCTGTTCCTTTTGCTCCCGCTCTCGCTGCTTTTCAAGACGATATTGGCGTAGCTCTTCCTGCTCGAGCTCCTCCTCGGTGGGTTTTTTCTTGCCCTTAACTTTCTTCTTGATGCCTTTGGTTAGCTTGTACATGTCCTAACTTGGAAGATCTGAAACAAAGGTGAAAACAGTATTGGAAACTATGCCAATGACGACTGCTCTCAAAGTTAATGCTATTCTAGCCCATTTTTACTAATTTAGTGCTGTTCCTGGTATTAAAGCAGTTCCAGCGCCTTTGCCCTGAGGAAAATGAATTTAACAATGTGGCTACATACGAAGCCTTATGCTTTGTTGATCCTACTTTTTGCCGCACTGAACTGGTGAAGTGTTTGAACAGTCGGTGAGTTTTATATGAGAACGCTGAAGGGTTTTAATGTCGTTTCTTGTGTCTTATAATCCATGAATGATGAAAAGACGTTCGAGTTTGCGTCCCTCCATGTAAGAGCAGACGACAATGTTGGACACGCCTCCAGTGGCGCCTGTCGGCGAGTGCGGCCCGTACTGGCGCCGCAGGCCGGCGGCACCAGGCGCCTGCCGACGGAGGCGGAGGCGGGGGCGGCCGACGTCACGCGGTGACTCAGCCGCTGACGCCGTCGGCTGGCCACACTGACCCCTCCCCTGGGCACCACGGCCAGCTGAGCCGGCCGGCGTGCCGTCCGCCAACGCCCCCTGGGGCTGCCGGCGTGCGCTAGCTCGTGCCGACCAAACCATGCATATATGTGGTGCTGGAGGAGGGGTCGCGCATGAATCAAACGTCCGGAGGAGGGGCCGCGCGTGCATCAGACTTCTAGAGGAGGGGCCACGCGTTCGTCAGACGTCCAGGGGGGGGGGGGGCGTGCACCAAACGTCTAGAGGAGAGGCCGCGAGTGCGTCAAACGTCTGGAGGAGGGGCCGCGCGTGCACCAGACGTCGTTCGGGTGCCCCAAACTTTGATCGCATGCGGCTGAGACTGCCGGTCTCATGTCAGTAACCATTCACTACATCCAAGAACACCAGAGTTTAATTCAGGTACGCAAGTATATTGTCTGGCAACATGCGATTTCCAAAGTACTTCTCGCGTGGTAGATGGTAGTTTTGCACGCGCACTTTGTTCCCAGTTTTCCTGTGGGATCGCGGTACGAATAGAATACCAGGAAGGCTGGTGGGATATATAAGCTGGGCGGGGTTATCCATTGCAAGATACAGCAAACGGAACGCCAGACGGAAGCCGGTAAGTGCGAGAGGCGATGACGGGGATGAGGATGGAGGCCGACAGATGGATCGGCAGCCTCATGATGACGGTAATCAACATCAGGAGACAGAAGCCGACGTCTGAGGCGTAAGGCAGCACATGGGCGTTAATCGATACATGTTACCTGAATCAGTGCAGGGAGCTCTGCTTGCTGGGGTACATAAAAGGGACGGGAGCGAGCGTCAGAGGTGATAGAGTAAAGAAGTTAACGCGAGGAATGGGAGCGAGTACAGAAAACAGAAACCGTTGCGAGAAACGGCAGACGCACAGGGGACGGTAGCCAACGCAGGACACGGCGGCAATAGAGTGCAGAAGCCGATGCAAATGAATGAAGTCAATACAAGGGTAGCAAGCCGGCAGAGGAGGCGGTAACCAGTACAAAAAACACAGGAGGCAAAAACCAGCACCGACGACGGCGTCGGTTCCGCGCAGGGGCGCCAACTCCCAGGGGACGGGAGCGACGTCGGGGCAGGGTCCGACACTGGGAGCCGGAGCCGGCGCGGGGACGGGAGCCGACTGTGCGGCCTCGTCCCGGCAGGTCGCCGGCGGACCATCGATCGCCGGCGGCCGGCCGGCGGCCGCCGATGCTCGCCACCGTCGGCCAAGATGGAAGCCGCCGCCGCCCGACCGGTGACGTCAGCGTGACGTCACCGGTCGGGCTGGCCCAGCCCACTGATGAGACCTGCCAGGACGGATGGGGGCGCTACACTGCCAGCACGGCATTCGCAACGATTGCGGTCTGAACGGTATGACGGGAAGTGAGTGGTAGAGGCTTGGAGAGAGGAGGGTTTCAACGATCGCAATATTGACGGCATGACGGAAAAAGAGCGGAAGAGGATTGAAAAGAGGAGGGCTTTATCACAATTTCATGAAATTAGGCACTAATCCCAAGGCCCATACTAGAGTTTCAGAACTTACCATCGAATTTCCGCTGAGTTCACTTTGTACGCCACGAATTTAGCATGTGAATTATGCATAGCCTATGGATGAATCAAAATGGCACCCTGGCCGCCAAGCTGAACTTCACTTTCGCCCCAAGTGGCGACAGAGATTCATGAATCCTGTCAATATAGTCTGAGCAACTTTCATCCAAACGACTTTGCAGCTTCGTCAATCATTGATGTACTGATCGAGCAGTTTTAAGGTATCTGGAACGCTTGGAAATCGCTCGTAGAATCCCTACGCAGTGCACTTCTCATATACAGCCAGAGAACTTGCAATGACAATATGCGACTGCAGCATTCTTGGTTTGAGAACATTCGGAATCTGAACACGTAGCACCAGACGCCCGATGAGTAGCGCTGATCACGTGCGCGCGGGTAAAGAATCGTCTGCACAAAAAAATTGCTGCTCGGTGCATTTACGAGGAACATTATTCACACAGATAAGACCGTAGTAATAGTCCTATTCCCAGGAAAAACCAGGAGAATGAAGGTATAGATGGGTTAATATTTCGGCAACATGCCTTTATCGAAATAATAGCAGAAGCGAATTCCGTAGACAATAATGCCAAGGACCACACTAGACACATCTATCTGTAGATGTGTCTAGAGGTATCATACTGCAGAATCAATTTCTGCTATTGTTTCGATAAAGGCCTATTGCTGAAATATCAACCCATCAAAACCTCTATTTTTCTGGTTTTTCTCCACGAAATAAGGATATTACTACTATCTTATCTAAAACAATGGTTTAAATCTTTGTCCTTTGATTTCAACTCTTTTCCCGGCTTACCTTTTGCCAGGTTGATACGAAACGGAATCAAATAGCAACGCCATGCTCTTTGCAATCCAAACAACACAAATATTGATAAGCTTTATGTGTCCCAAATTCTACGCAACTGTTGCAACACTCTTAGTATCTATCCTGCAGTTTGTTGTCAGCCTCGCCATCCATCCGTTGCAAAGAAATTCAACCATTCAACCTTGTTTTATTGTGACTGGCCAGTTACGATTAATCAAGAACATAGCGTGAAATCCCAAAATGGCACGTGTGATCTTGAATCAGTTCGGCGACAGCGGGTTTTTGAACGGCCTGTCGCAAAGACGCCTAACAGAGGGAGGCTGGACACTTTCAAGCCCATTTATACGTAGTTATATATATATTAATATATATATATATATATATATATATATACAATATCACAACATGTAAGATCCTCACATAGCTAATAGAGGTAAAAACCTAATGGACAGGGCAATGGGTACAACAAGTAAGTTAGTGGTTGTGGTTTGCACAGTTTAACACGAGCGCAGGATTTCCTGTAGGTAAACAAATCAGCTTAAAAAACTACAAAATCTTGCGGAAGATCTTCTAGAATCCACATGAAACCCACCACCTTGCAATAGATCGGGGATATGCAAAACCCATGATATTCGATGGCGGCTCCATTTGGTGAACGCCAAGTTATTCTATGATTCTATGGTCGAAAGAATTGCTGCATTGTTCTTATACAGAACAAAATTGCTAATGTCAATACGAGTGTCACAGAGACATGCACGATCTCGGATGTCCGAAGGGTCTGGATTAAGGAGAATGTTACCTGTACGATCAAACTTACTCAAGTGCCTTGGTATTCTGTAACATTTGCTGTACTCTACAGCTATGTGAAGCAATGATGATTACAGCAACAATTGGGAAGGTCAGACCGTAGAGGTAAGATTCTCTCTAGCCCAGGCTCTTTGCCCATCGGAGATCTTTCATATATGCATGACACGCGCGTTGAAATGGATCTTTTCCTTCTAGAGCGATGCAGCAACTCCCTCGATCCTGGGATTTCAGAATCATGCCATGTGCACCGAAATGATGTAATGTCCTGGCCCTTTACGATTATATACTATATATATATATATATATATATATATATATATATCTATCTATCTATATATATATATATGTATGTATATATATATATATATATATATATATATATATAAATTTATATGTATATATATGCTATAAATACCCCCCAATAATACTGTGATACGTGATACCGTGAACCAAATAATATTGTGAAAACTCACGAGTACGCACGAGCTAAAATTGTTGATCCTAATTCATTCGCATGAACACCTTTCTAAAATTATTTTGCTTGCAACGAATATTTGAACAATGGGTTATATTACAATATTCAAGTTGGAAGCAGAAATGTGACGTCAAATACCGGTATTCTTCTCATTTGCGTAACGTTTTATGTTTTAATCCTCGGTTTTCACCCTTTGCCCTTTCACCTTTGAGTTTAGCAGGTTCATAAACTGTACAAAACGGCTAAGGATATGAACATAGTACCTGCCGGACATGAGAGAGTATAGATACTGGACACCACAAGTATTGTCGACGGCACTGTTAAGCATAATGTCGAGCTGTTTTCCGGACTGTTCATTGCGATCCCGAATGTAATATTTATCTGATCTAACAAGACTCTGGTCTCCCACTCGGCCAACCTTCGGAACTGTAATTCACAGATGAATTGTAACGCACGCTAGGATGCGTCTTTATCTGATCGCAGATTTCTAGTGCGCTTTCCGCCATTGTTTGACCGTCGTCGGAGAACGCTGTTTGTGATAGGTTTATCTGCCTCTCGTTGCACAGTGAGGGCCAACCATCCATTTGTAAGTGGATGGGGGAGGGCTTCCCCCGCTCATTTTGCAGTGAGGGCTCATAGTACCTGCCGATAAACCATATTCAGAATTATACAATGCTTTACTCGTTATCCTCAGCAAAGCATAACTGCAACTGGTGGCTAATCTACGAATGTGTGCAGACTGGCAGCCTTCCGTTCCAAAACAACTGCGTCTCGCCATTTTCTTGAAACAGGAGCGTTACATACTGCTTTGGTGCGGCCTGCGTTCTTTGGCACAGAAGTGTCAGCAGGTCACGTTCCGCTCGATTCGCTCACTGGAAGTAAGTCATTTGCACGCGAGGAGGCCGTGGCGCACAACCGGGGTCGTCGTAACATGGACCCCTGGCTGCGCTGTGGTCGAGATCATTGCCGTGAAGCCAGGATCAGTGTCACTAGCAATAACGTTTAGCCCAAAATACGGCCACGAGCTCTGATGTGGTGTGTGCACCAAGTGCCGGCCGTGTTACCGATGTCATGCGAACATCGTTGACACAATCGGGAACGGGAGCGGTCGTAGAAGGCGGGGTGGAGCCATGCAGGACAGATAACGCGGACGTTACGAATGTAAACCTAAATTCAGTATCACTGAGATTGCATAACTACGAAAGACTGCGTCGGCGCAGTTTTCGCACATCATTCATCGGCCCATGCAGCACCAAAGCGGCGCTCGTGCTTGCTCAGCCGAATAACAGATGGCAGAGCAGAAGTCAACTGGGAGGTAGACTGTTCCGCTGAACGCCAGACGGCCCTGTCGCTGGTGGTAGACTGCGCCGCAAGTTCCCGCCGACTCCATAACCGATCCCAAGGCTCTGCTCCAAACAGGCGCGAGCCCAGAATTCATCGATCGGCGCGTCGCTAACCAATTCATAGCCAGCGGTGGTTAGGACTCGGCCGGCTCTGCCGGACGGGGCGGATCTGGGCGGCCACGACCCCGGCGCCGTCCTCCATTGGAGGAAGCCTGCCGCCCCACCCCGGCGGCCGATCGCCGGATCGGGGCGGAAATGGAGCCCCTCATAGCGCCGAAACATGCCCGCCAATGGCGGCAGAGCGGGTGGTTCGCCCGGAGCACACCAGCCGCGATATGCCGTCTACAGCCGCTTTCTAGGAGTCGATAAACGGGAAACGATGCCGCAGCAGAGCAAGTTGGAACCGGCAAAGTTGATATCAGCACATATACATTTTGCACAGTACAGAAGGGTGATATCATCTCAAAGCCTGGACAAGTAATACGTAAACATAAAAAGCCCTTTGCAGGCAGGATAGATATGTGTTTAAAGCGGGCTCCCAACCATCGACAATGTTATTTGGTTAAAAAACAAAACCTTTTAAAGTCCAAGAAAAACCAATATCCTACATTCCACAATACTTTGGGACGATTTTCCTGAAACTTTAACAAGACATGTATACTCACATTATCATCACCAAATACGGCAACTTTCTGAACGACGATCGCGTCCGAAGACGATCAAAAACCTCCGTGCTTTGAATGTCGGTCCTAGCTAGCATTCGTTCCAAGTATTTCAGCCTGCCAACACTTCGAAGTCTGGTAAATCCGCGCAGGCACCGCAAGTGCTCCAGCTGACACCAGACCCCGGTGGTGGCACGTAGCCCTGCAGCCCGCTCCGGAGCCTGGGGTCAGAGTGGAGGGGCACGTACCTGTACCTGGGCATGTTTCGGCGCGAGACGCGGAGCGTGTCGGGCGCGGCGCGACGTCGGCACCAGTCGGCGCCGGCGGCGGTCGCCGGCCCCGGCCCGTCGGCCGCGCGCCGGCCTGCGCACGCTCGCCGGTATTGACCGGTGACCGGGGCCGTGGCGGCGCCACTCGGCTGCCGGCCCGACATCTGGCGGCGGCCGGGTCAACTGTCGGCCTCGCCGGGCGCCGGCCCCGCCGGCGCGGGAGGGGGCGGGGCACTCGCCGCCTCGCCGCCCACACGAGAACCGGCGCGTCGTGGCCATCATCGCCTGGTCGGCCACTGCGGCGACGGCAGAGGCCATCCTTGACTCGTCACTCACTGCAGCTGCAGTGTGGGAGGCGCCGACCGCAGGAGTGGCAGCAAAGACGCTGTCAGTTCGCCGCCCGAGTGCACTCCGAGTGCCCGCTCTGCCCGCCAGCGCGGACCGGGAGCCGGCTCATTCCCCTTGCAGTCGCCGGATAGTCAATATAAATGACTCGCCCACGCCGTGGCTTCGACGGACCAGCCCACGCAACTGTTAGCGACCGAAATGGCACCGGCGCACCATCTAAGAGACGAAATGCAGCAGAAATCACCAGCGGCTCGCTGGGGCCACTGCGGTCCTTCCCGGCGGCCGATATTTCGCTGTAGTCCTCACCGGATCGTGGCAGGAACTGCTGACGTCAAGGCAGCTGATCGCACCATGGACAGACCATGAAGCGCCCAGGAGTCAGCCGAGCTGACTGACCGGCAGATCCGCCGCCCACTGGCTGGCCATGGAAACATTCATGTGGCGCGTCTCACCTTGCTCGAGATTTTCAGGTCCATGTGCATTTGGACTGCAATTAGTGCGAACTCTCCCACGCCAGAATAGTAAGTTGTCCATGTGCAGTAGTTATCGTGTGTATGTGCATGTGCACGTATTTGTCGCACATGCATAGTCATGCCTTATATACAACGCAGCCCTTTTGCTGGATCTCACTCACACATCCTGCTTGTTCTTTATATAGCGGAACTATCGCAGTGATGATTATGTGTGTAACGCATGTTTTATATATATATATATATATATATATATATATATATATATATATCTCTCTCTCTCTCTCTCTCTCTCTCTCTCTCTCTCTCTCTCTCTCTCTCTCTCTCTCTCTCTCTCTCTCTCTCTCTCTCTCTCTCTCTCTTTCTTCTTTATCAATGCGATATTTTCTCCGTAACGTCCGCATCTGTCATCTGTCACACATCTGACATAGTCTGTGAGTCAAGCAGATGTGACTGTGTGAGATGTGACATAGCCACATCCGACACAGCCACGTCTGCCTAATAAATAAGTTAACTTTACGTCGACACTGGTTTCTTTGATCCTGACAAATAATAAATTAAACAAAAGTTAGGAGGCTTTCAGCCGGCTTTAAATTTGCTCGAAAAGGTTGAAAGCTTACCCACAGCCTGCCTAACCACAAAAAGAACGCATTAGCTCGCATTTCTTACAGTCTGTCCCGGAGACACCCACCTGCTGCATCTAAGCGTACAGGTAGCACGGCAGCTGCTGGGGCTTCACTAGTTCTACTGCTAACCAACGGTGTAACGGCTGATCGTCACGAGCTATCGCTCCACATCTTGCCGCCTGCTGGGACCCGATCACCCCAGGCAATCGCCTGGCGAATCGCCCGGGTCGCAGCAGGCAGATGGGGCGGCAGCGGCGTCGCTGCGCCGCGGCGGGGTCAGGCGGGTCACGCCAGCCACCAGCCTGCCGTCTCGACACGAATTCAGGCCGGCCGACCGGTCTGTGACGCCGCTTCCGACCTGCTGTCGCCGTGGCGTGTGGCACATTGAGGCGAAAGACGCCGCCACTGCGCAGCGGCCCGCCGCGCGGCAGCTCCCTCGCTCGCAGCTGCTCGGCCGGCGGCCTCCCCTCCGGAGCCGCCCCGTCGCCGGCAGCGTGAGTCACCGCCGCCGGCCGGCCGAGTGCCGCTGTCGGCGCCGAAGGGGCGCTTGGCCGGGGGAGCTGACTTGGCCTGGTCCATTGAGGCCGAGTGCTCGCTGGCCAGTGTCAGCCAGCGGCGCAGCTGGCTTGGCCTGGTCTACTGAGGCCGGCGTCTTAGCGTCGCAGAATCGACAGTCTTGACAACTTCAGCTTGTGTGTGTTTTAGTTCAGCAGGCCAGCTTGAGTGTGGTTTAGTCCAGCAGGCCAGCTTGAGTGTGGTTTAGTCCAGCAGGTACCCTTTGTATCGCTCCGTGAGGTGGCTGTAAGCAACCTTTCTTGCTCGTCCACCGTCACCACTGGAGTCAAGAAAACAAAGCCCAAGTGCCATCATAATCCTTCAGCAGTAGCAGATCCCGGTGCGCAGAGCCTTCTCCTTACAATTTAGCGCCATTTGCTGGAGCACCACGCGATGAGATTGTGCATGGCAGTGTTTATTTCCACGAATTCCAAATTCCAAATCTGATAAAACGGTGTAATATTTATTTGTACGAACGCTGCGTTTGTGGTTTCGCGGGGATACAAGAAGTTTTGCGTCGACGAGGCTGCACGTGAACACGTGCAGCCTCGTGCAAGCACGTGGCCGTGGTGAAGTGGCAATGAATGCTGTTGCCTGAAGTATCGTGTGATAGACGGCCATTGGCCAGGAGGTCGGAAAAGTGCCGCTGGAGACAATAAGCCAGCGAGACGACGGGAAAACGTCAGGAAAGTCGGAGACCTATCCTGATCGCAAGGTATTTTTACTAGAACATAGATCCATTCTGGCATAATGCTGTTCGCGGTTCCGTGATAATGATGCACAGCCACAAAAGGCGGGACAATCTGCATTTATAGCTCATAACCTACCTCTAAGATTAATTACACACACCAGGCTCGTTGTTCGATTCGTCGATCGTGGTTGAGAACGCTGATCGTGGTTGAGAATTGCTGAACATTAACACTTCAAAATGCAATCGTGAACGCTGAAACATTCTGCAAGTTCGCCAAGTGTTGACAAAAGGCTCGCCCCGCTCCGGGAGAGCATGACGACCGCGGGCGGGCAGTCCCAGAAGGAAGCCATTCCATAAACCGAGGCACTGCGGGAAGCTCTAGGGCTCTACACGCCGCCGGTCACGTGACGCGCTCACACAAGCGGACACAGGGAACGGTGACCGGACGGCGCTGTGAGCGCGGGGACCTTACAAACGCCGGTGTGGCCGCGGTAATGGACCAGGTCACGTACGCCGCGTCAGCCAGACCTCCCCACCACGGTGAGATGCAATTTCGGCCACTTTACGTCACAGCCGCATTACGGCCACGTCCCGCGCATAAGAGGCGACAATGGCCCCGGCGTTTACCGTTTTTTGCGCTCGACGGGGGGATGACCCCCGCCCCACACGGGAGGGGGGGGGGGGGGCAGTACGGAATGCGATGAGAAGCGCGGTCTTATAGACATGCGTATGTGCCTCGTGTGTGAGATGGTGGCGAATTGAGACCGATGTAGAAAGATACGTTTGACGATTTGCAATATGTCCTTCTCCCAGTGACGGTGTAGTGGAAGCTAATTCCCAACGTTTGCAAGGAAGTTAATAGATGAGTGGTCAGAAATTCCAGGATGGAAGAATTGGATGTTATTATTAACTTGGGGACTGCTGACTGGGAGAAAAGCATTCCTGGCAAGGTTCATCATGGAGTTAGCTGCAAGACAGGATTGGACGGCAAGGATGGTTTCCTTCTGCCGTGATATCAGGACAAACAGGTGTTTGGAACAATGGAGCCAGGACCTTTGCATTGTTGGTATAAGAGACCAAGCGACGATCAACAAGTAAATTAGGAAGCTGTTCTTGAATTGCCGGAAAGGATTATATTAACTGAGGTCTCCTGGGGGACAGCGTGGGACGAAGAAAGAGACAGTGGGGCACCCATTACCACCCACTGCCATCCACCAAGGTGACTCCTGAATCACCGTGGCCCGATCTCACGCCGCTGCAGTTTGGTCAGGAGGACGCTGCGGCCCTCACTGTCGACACAGCAACCTAAGCAAGTGGATAGCAGCGACCTGCCCGACGTCATCATCACGCGGTGGCCGGTCAACAGCGTGAACCAAGGCGTCCTCATTCTGGTGATGCAGCCTGCATGCATATTGAGAGGGCACTAAGATGATGAGATACGGAACGAGCCAACACCCGAGCGCGCACGGCTTTGCCGTTCATTTCGGATAACGTCGGTAAGGAGGTGGGTCTCAAATTACTAGCGGTGTCATTAAACTCATGAAGGCGAGCAGCGGTGTCACGATTAAACGACGTTGCGGCGTCTCTGCTTATGAAGAAGAGCAGTCGATGTCACCCTTCAATTGCAAGAACAGCAGAGGCGGTGGAGACACCCATCGGATGAGGAAGAGTGCTCATGTGCATGTGCATGGGCGATGTTCAAGACCGGTGAAGCATTTGTTCCTTGCCGTCCTGGCACACCATCCATTCTGGCAACCGTGATTGCTGTTTGTCTTTCACGTTTAACCAAACCGACTACTAGATCTTGAAGAAACGTGGACTGAAAAGTGACTCCCAGGCTGTGTGGTTGATAAGATGCTTCAGTCGGCGTGGGTTAAGATCCTTCAATGGACTGTCTGCGTGATATGCTTGCAGGATGGAAATTACCGACCATTTCTATGCACAGCGTCATACACAGTCATTGCGCTGTGCTTAACTGGACACGTTCTTGGCTGTCGATGTAGTTGTTCATCGTACTCTTGCCTTCCACAACAGCAGTGAGAGCAGTCGGGCCGAATGGATCACCGGGAACAGCTCCAGCTCACTTTACATGGAGGTCGTTCCCGAGCTCTGGGGCTTAATCAGCGACCAAGGCTTAGCCTGCGGCGACAGAGGACAACACCGCTCTAGAAAGAGACGACACGGCACAGCACGGCCGCCTCGTTTGTTGAACTGAAGATTGGCTGCATGTGGCGAGTGGTTCGACCTCCTGTGACCCGAGGTGGCCAGCACGGGGCCGATGGGCCGCAACACACGGCGCAATCATTGTTACGCATTTGCTGCCATATGGCAATGTTTTTTTTAGCGATAAGGATTTTACATGC